GTAGCTTTGCGCCTGCACTTCATCCGGTAAACAGTTGGTTAAGTTATTTCGAATGTTGCGGATCAACTTGATCGATGAAAGATCACTGTCAAACCCTCCTCCATACCCCCCTTTTAAAGACCTCATACTAACAAGCATAGTGCGAGGTACCTGGTAAGTAATATCCCTCCTTTCATGATGTCCTCCAACTTCTGAGATGCAGGCCGCTATCAAGTCGCTGAGGCGAAATAAAGCTCTCCGGCTGTTAGGACGGCTTGTCAACAAAGTCACGTTCATTGAATCCACAAGAAATCTTGCAGGAACTGTTTTGCCATGTTTGTTCTGAAGAACGAGTGTAACTAGATTGGAACGAAAGGCTGTGCTGTTACTCCTACTTTTCAAAAAGGGTGACAAAGCAGTCTGCTAGAACTATGGTGGAATCAAGTTAAATGCCGCGACTAGAAAAGTCTTAGCCGCATTACCAAGAGATTCCATGCCAAGAAGGACGAATGTACAAGAACACATCGAGGTGGTTTCCGCACTGCAAAAAAGGTGCATCAATCAAAGTTCCTCTGCGTTCCGCCGCGCTTTTCAACATAGCTGCTGTTTCCAGGCGCCCACCGTTGTGTACTTCATGGACTTCTCAGCGATATTCGATTCGGTTCATCAAGGTTCGATGCATTATGGAAGTAGATTATGTTTTCCAGAAGTTTACGAACCTCATTAAGGCGCACTGCCGCAGAACACGAACAAGAGGCCGGCATACGGTAAACTGACGCTTTCCTGGACCTTACTCCTAGGTTACATCATGGTTTCGCCTCTCTGCTGTTTTAATAAACATGTTGTCATTGATTAGATCCTGCAAAAAGCAATGAAAGATTTCGCCTTCATCGAAGTTTGCCATGTCGACCATAAGACTAGTACTGACCATGCCGACGACATCGCCACTCTGTCATCGAATTGTGACAATGTGCATATGCCCGTAAGTGAATCTTTGACGTGCTTGCAGCAGCAAGAATGGTCATCCATGCCATAAATTTTAAATCATTTCCCGTGGGGTTCTGAAATAAGAGAAAAATCCCATCACCCTGCACCACTCGCCTTGAAAAAGTTACTCCTTCAAATTCTTTGGCTTCTCCATCCTACCAATGTACAGCTGTACAGTCGAAAGATGAAATTACGGCTCAGAAAACAGCAGCAAAGCGGGGTTGAGGGGCGTTCATCCACTGTGAAAACGACGGATCGGATATCAGTGTTCAACTCTGTAGGCCGTCATTCCCTCTCTCCTTGTGTATGAATATCAGATCTGAGTCCCAAGAATGGAAGATGTGATTTCGACCAATGGTGTTTATGTCTATGAATGATTGCATGAACGAGATTTGCCTAAGATGTAACCGGCATCACATTTTGCACTTTGCAATATCAGCCAATTCTCACACGTCCTGAAAAATGGGCAGTGCTTGACTGCAGCACGTACTGGTACGTCCATCAGATAATGCTACGTTGATTACACTTAACATCGCTGGAATCTCTTGGTGGCATCCAAAACTAGGCGGAGACGTTGTGCTGCTGGGACACTGTCAGCACTAACGCTGAAGTCTAATCTGAGTCAACGGTGTACGGCTACAACAGTGAAAGAAAGTTTGGTTGAACTTAGTGGCTAAAATTGTGTGCTAAAAGCAGAGGTGGAAAACAGAGATCAGCGGTATCATGGAAGCCGGATAAACTAGCAACGATGACAGTCCTGACAACAGCAACGGCAATTAGCGGATTGAATCATACACCATGTCTTTATATGAGGATAATCGGCATATGGATATGTAATGCATCATATTTTGCAATGCTGAACCATTGCTTGTTATTTTGGTCAGTTAGGATGCCAGGGATAGACTAGAAATAGGGTCATAATACGAATCGTGTTTTATGACGTTTTCATGTACGAAATGAAATATGCTTTCTAATGATTCTAGTATGACTACTTGTATTTGAGCTGTTCATTATAAATATAACTAGAGGAGCTAAACGCGACGATAGTTTTTGAGCCATTATATTTGAGCCGTCTTCACTGGAAATCTGCATGTTTGAGTTTTGCCATTTTGTTCTAGTTTCAACAAAGCTCAACGGTCTATAATAATTGAAAGCCGTAATTATGTTGTTCCCCTTTTAGGGTGTTTACATGCCATATGATGTAAACCTGCCAACGAGCCTGCCAACCAGATCAGGAGGATACGATTCGTTCAGAACCGACTGCTGTATTACCGAAGTAGGTAAGGTTTCAGCTATGATGATCGGTCGATCGATGCTTGCCAACAACCTGCGACCTGACGCGATCATCGTCTCACCGGCCCTGCGATGCATCCAGACGGGACAGAGCATTCTGAAGATGATCCCTTCGGCTCTTACCATGTTCATTGAGCCAGGACTGTTCGAATACCTTGGCTGGTATGGCAAATCAGTCCCGGTTTGGATGACCCCGGCAGAACTACAAGCTAACAAATATCATGTCCGCTACCACACACCCGTCATGAACAGGCGTCAAGTTCGAAGGTCTGTTGGCGAGGGAATTTCACAGTTCTACAAACGCTGCGAGTACGTCACTGAGAGACTTCTTGAAGACTTTGCTGGTAAGAATTCACCGTCCTGCTATGTGTAGTGATTTGTCTGTGTGTTCGAGCAACTCTGCGGTGGCACGAATTTAAAATTATTAACTTAACTCAGCACGACTTCAGGAAATGCCTTTATAAAAATTGTTCATTTTCAATCGTGTGAAATTCTTTGTCACTTTTAAATCGCCAATTCATGAATGCAGCAGCTCAGATTTCCCACTATGATTATCAGAAAAACTTCTAATTTCCTTGACTGGCTTTGGTGGTTGAATTATGAGAAATATTAACCTTTCACTTAACAGCATACTATATGTAGAGGAGACAACTACCGTAATTTTAATACAGAGGAACTACTAACTAAATTATTTCACATCAATAACTTAACAGTATTTCAATATAAACAAAGGAAAATAACGGTAGAGAACGAAAATTGCCGGTCCGAACCACCTCCTTATGCGCGCAAAGAATTTACCGCAATATTTTCAAATGTTTATTAAACAGTTAGTCAATTCTAATGAACGCTTCTCCCTTCGGTCGTGGTGTCACATGCGTCAAACAACGTCTTCAGCGTTAATGAACCTCTGCCAGTGATTGAGCTTCAGCAGAACATGGTTCAAGTCTAGAGCAGAGTCTGTCGAGACATTTCCCATAGTTCATTCTTAGTCGTCCTCAGCGTTTTTGGTCCGTCGGTTGCTCAAGTAGTACCTGCTTCGCCTTCCTTCCTGGAATCATTCGAAAGACGTGCACAAACCGTCGCAGCTGTGACTTATCAATTTAAAGAGCCAGATTCTGCATACAAGGGCTTTCTTAGATATCCTAACTCTGGGCCATGTCGAGACGCGTGAGCAGAGTGATTCGTCTCAGAAGGCGTACTTCACCCGCATGTGTCCGAGATCATGGTGTGTCATCCTCGGCCCACGACTCGTGGCCATAAATGAACAAGCCGACAAAAATCAACTTGAGCACAGACAACTTGGTCTTCAGACTCAGCTGTGCTTTACTCGCAACGGTTCTGGTGAGTTCACCCAAAACGCCACTGGTTGCTTCAATCTGCCAGTCGATCTATTCCTCTCATTTTCCCTCACCAGCGGAACACGACCCTGAGGTACGTGGACCTCAACACTTGTACCACTGCTTCTTTGTTTCTCTGCGGAGCACAGCTGCCAAGGGAACGAGGGAGGACTAGGCTGTTTGTTCACACGCGTTCACAAGCTTGCTGGTCAGGTCACGCTCGGCTGCGAACCTCTACAGATAGCGCTGGAGGTCAGTTTCGGAAGATCGTAAAACAGCAAAGTCGTTCTCAAACAGTTTTAAACCTCTCGTTGCCTTAGTTGCCCCTGACTATTCTATCCATGTCCAACACAAACAGGAGAGGGGACAGGACGCAGCCTTAGCGGACACAAGTGCCAATGCTGGAAGGTATCTCCCTTTTTTTCTGATGCGGCACCTGCCATAACGATATAGATACTGGAAGTTTCATAGCTGGCCAACGATGCCATATGTCTTGCAGGCACGCCAGCAGCTTGCTGTGAGAGACCCAGTCATAGGGTTCTCTAAGTCAACAAAACACATCTAACTCTCACTATACCTCAGCAATCTGGCATAAAGCGAAGATCTGGTCAGCAGTACTTCTGCCAGGTCTGAAGCCACACTGCTCTTCTCGGATCAGAAAGCCAGTCATTTCGCGGCATCTACATTTCCAATACCTTTCGATAGACCTTTCCCGATAGGCGTAATGAGGTAATGCTCTGACAATTGGAACAGCCTATGGCCTTGCTTCTTAAACAGTCTTGCATTTAAAATTCATCGATCCCTTTGATACTATTTTTTTCATTGCATTAGCCGTTCATACATTTAGATTCGCATAATATCCTTATCATCGCACATAGCCTAACAATGGACGCCATTTGTGGAATGCTCTCAGGACGCAATCGAAAAGACCCTAGCCTCTACGACTTGGACCACATGGGCCTGTACTATCCGTATTGTGCATTTGTTGCATTTGAAGAATGGAGCGATGGCACATGGCATGTGATATATGACGCGATTCCTCCGCTAAGCTGCTGCGGATATTCTAACCGCATCAACTTGCGCTTCTTCAACAGGGACGATCCAGCTACTGAGAGCACTAGTGATTCATATCCGGTTTAAACAAGCGGTAGTAATTGATTTAAGTCGTACTGTATTGATTTATGTAACTTAATAGCCTTGATTGCATATAAATGTGATATTGCTGATCAGTTGATTTTAATGCTATTTGTTCAAATATGAAGTACGTTCTAAAAGTCTTCCTTCGACATCCGCAACAACGATGATCCGCGTTAGTATATCAACGTGAAACTCAGTTTAAATATCTTTCAGTCACTCGGGGAACAATGCATTGCAGCATTCAAGGTTACCAGGTGAGTGATAATTGAGGACTCATATGAGAAATTCTATTGGAACTTCCAATTATTTAAATAATTATTAAACACGGGACAATGGCGAAAAGGACTAATTGTTTGCTTTGCAGTGTGGAGGTGCCAGGTTGGAGCCCATTGCGCGGCGTAAATGTTCATTAACTATTCGCCAGTTCCTTGAAGCAAAAAAAATTTTTTTCCACAGTGATTCCATGCAACCAGCCGAAAACCGGACAGCAGGTGGTTGACCTGCGAATAAGAGGGACAGTATGGTGCTTTGGCATGGATATGCTAAAGCATGTGAGATCTGCAGCCCTGCTGTCTGATTTGTGTGCTTAGCAATTGCGAATCCTCTTGACCACCCTGGCGACTGACTAAAAGTCTGTACAACGTATGAAGATGAATCTGATTTTTAAAAAGTAAACATAATATCCCGTAAATGGTGAACACGAAAATCACCGGTGCTAGTTTCATTGTCATTCAGCGCCTCTGGTGTCCAATAAGCTAAACAGACTGACAATATATGACATGCAAAAGTAATTCCTTGGAATACTCCAAACATTCACTGTTTCGACTAAGGATTAGACACGTACTCCCATTCTCACCAGATCCGCTGTAGTAGCTTGTGGCAGCTGATACAAGTAATTCTCGTTTTCTACGACTCGCAGTCGGCTCCTGTGGGAGGAAGGTCCTTTCTACTTCTTCTGCCACCTGAATCACTTTATGGAATCATGATAAACGTCATTCTCATATTTCCTTAGAAGCTGGTAAAGTCTTGATCAGTGTTTGGAAGGCAACGGACTTTTGGAATCTTCGAAAAACATGATTCGGCTCGAATCAACTCAAAGAAACAACTGGTGGGTTCGAACTCGCGGCGCCACCTTGAGCACCGACCCATCGCTGTTATGGATGAGAGTTAAATCAGCACTAGCAGATTAATACTTGACCCGTTAACTTGTGTGACTCCCGTACCAATGCTTTTAAATAGCCATTTGTTGTTTCGATGTGTTTAACCAGGAAAACAGCGAATTTATTTGAACTTCCTCGAACGGTTGTCAAGTTTTGCCTCGTATTAATTATGAAAAAAAATTATAAAAGAATTACATTAATATTATTGCCTTAAAAACTTATAGTAATTATTGATCATGGTACAATTCCTTATGAATCAGTGATGATTCGGATGAAGGCGGTTGTAAGGAAGTATTCAGTGACTTCTGCATAAGTGGAAAGGTGTAGGAAAACAACCCCAAACAAAGTG